AAAAAAAAAAAAAGACAGCCATGTTTGCCCAGCTAAGCTAGCCGGGCGGTTAGCTTAGCGGTTAGCTTAGCAGTTAGCTTAGCGGTTAGCTTTACCTCCTCCATCCGCATGTCAATGATCCTCTCCACCTCGTACACATCTTCCTCCTCGTCCTGCTCGCTGTCCGCCGGCTCGACCTTGTTGGCTTCAGCCGCCATGGCTGCTGGATTGCGCGGCCAGTTACGGTGGCGTTACGGGGCACGGAGGGCTGCGAAAGGCCGCCGTGTTGACGGTTCTGGGGACGCTGGTGTCTGCGGGGCGGAGGCTCGAACCCCGCTACCGCCCATGCTCCCCGTGAGGCGTTCAAAGGCCGGGCGCTGGTCGGAAACTATAAACACGACGGTTAGCAATGTCGCTTTGCTGCTGTAAAATGTGTCAAAATCTGGTGCTACATCCGAAAATCAAATAATAGAGAGACATGTGACAAATCAATGCAAGATGGTTTATTGTCATAATCAACTGTCTGGCGTAGAAATAAATTGTATGACACTTTCAATACATCTATGGTCGAATTCATTACAAAACCAAATAGATACGGAAATAATAAAATACAATGATGTATCTGCACAACACCACTCTCTGTCTTAATTGTCGACACCATTCTATCTAATTGCCTCATTAGGTAAAATGTAAACTTTCAAAATTCAGATTTTCCCTAAATGCAACAAGAGTTCTTAATTTAGGCGGTGAGTTCAGGTACAGCATTTTGTAAAGTGATAAATGAATTAACTTAATTAAATTTCAGACAACCAACTAAAACGGACTTAGGACACATTTTGATCAATTTAATTTGACAGAAGAAATGATCTCATACAGAACGCATCCAATCCAACTCACACAAGACAACACACAAAAAACATAAAAAGAAGTACTTCTAAAGTTAATAAATTCAATTAAGCGCCACAAATTGAAATAAAAACATAGATGGGAGGAAATCCCCAAAGTCTAAAAATATCTGAACATTATTCCAGATATTTTCCACGTAGTGTGACATCATAAAACAATAGAAAAGCATCATTCAGGATTTAAAGAACCTGAAATATAAAAGGCATAAAAAGAAAATGCACATGAAACATAAACGTATGGATTAAAGTAATACTGTAACAGGATACTGACACAAACTGATGGTCATTTGGTAACTTGTAGCCTTTGAGAAGCAAAATGAGGGCACACTAACTAGTGACATTCATTTAATTCATTAAATACCTCAATCTCAGTTATTTCAAGATATTTGATTTGATTAAACACCAATGAATGCACAGGTGGTTTTGGTGTTATGCATACAAACACCAATAAATGCACAGGTGGTTTTGGTGTTAGCAGCATGTCGGCAGCCTTTACTCTCCTCTCACACACCAAAAATGATTTTGAGGTCAGCCAGGGAGAGTTTGGAGACGGTGCTTCCCGTTCCTGAGAGCACATTCTGGGCCAGCTCTTTCTTCTTTGCCTGGAGGGTGGAAATCTTCTCCTCCACTGTGCCCTCGCACACAAACCTGGTCGCACGCATGCAGAAAAATGGATACAAAGACGCCCAGTTGTGACATTTTAGAAAGACAGGACGTGCTTCAACAGTGCAAACAACCAACGATGCATTCAGGTCCCTCCTGCTTATATCAGAATCAGAATCAGAAATACTTTAATAATCCCAGAGGGAAATTATTTTTGTTACAGGCTCCATAAGTAAAACAAAGGCATATACATATATACATGTCTATACATATATACAAAATTCCTCATAAATATAGCTAGATATATACATAAAAAACTATATGTGTATATATAGGTCAAAATGAGAGGTGGATAGTTTGACTCTCAGAGGGAGGCGTTGTACAGATTGATGATATATGACATATGATATATGACAAAAATCAGACGACAGCTTTGGTTGCCATTTTATTTTATCTGTTACCTGTGGATGGTCACATCTTTCTGCTGTCCAACCCTGTAGATCCGGTCACAGGCCTGATCCTCTAAGGCCGGGTTCCTGTCGATGAGTTCACGGACCACAGGTTAAAAAAAGACAAAAGACAACCTGCTTTTATTGTCCTTCTCTTATATTTGCTCTTTGATGTTTTGACGGCAGTCTGTCATAAATGACACCAATAAAATTTTGTGAGATAATCTCAAGTTAGTTCACATACAGAAAACACATTTTTTAAAATAATATTTTTACTCATCGGTGCAGACTTTTAATACAATTATAATTATTTATTTATTCGTTTATTTGATAGGGACAAGTATGTCTCATGAATCATGTCACACACTACAACATTTTAGCTAAGGCTAATTCTCAATGCCTGTCCCCAGTTAAGCTTTTACACAAAACACAGTGACTGTACACAAGGCACAACGTAACAAATTACACACTAAAACATCACAGCCAACTGTGTATGGCCAACTAAAGTAGAAATGGAGAAAATGAACACTATTCTCAGATTATTTGTTAGAAAAAAACTAATGACATCTGATAGAATCTGAAAAGAAAGCATAGAAAGACGAATAAAAAAATAAATTAAACAAAAATACTTTTTCTACATGCTAATATGAATCTTACCAGTGCATGTCAATGAGGAAGAGGTGATTCCCACCAATAAGATTGAGTCCAACCCCTCCAGCACAAAGAGACACCAGCATCACCTTTGGGGGAAAAAGAAAAAAGATCTTAAATAATGTGCAACCGTCGACCACCAACAGAGGGCATTTAAGTCTAAGTTTGATTGAAGGCTGACAGGCTGCTGCCTGCTGGGCGGGGGGGCACCTGTGGCCCTTTGGGGCTGGAGTTGAACTCCTCCACCAGGTCCATGCGGCGTTTGGGGCTGACGGACCCGTCGATGACGGCGTGGCGGAGGCCCATCCGGCGCAGGTGGGCGCCCACGATGCCCAGCATGCGGGTCCACTGGGAAACGAACACAATGGGGGGGGGGGGGAGGAGTCAATACGGTCAGAAAAACAGGAATAACTGGATAAACGTGATAAACTGAGAGTGAATTACCTTCTCTGGTTGTCACTCTGGTCTCTGATTGCCATCAGCTGAGAGGTCAGAGCAGAAATCTGGACATTTTGGAAAGAAGCAACCGAACTGTTACTCTTATTTTGTTATTATTAGTTATTATTTACTCTGTTTTACTTTGATTACATGTATTGTTTAATTCATTTTTAATTTGTATTCTGGAATTTTCTAAAAAGAAATAACATTTGCAAAATCAGTATTGTATGTGTGTATGTATATGTATGTGTGTATGTATATATATATATATATATACACATATATCTTTCCTGAGGGAGTCTTCCCGAGGGATCAATAAAGTACAAGTCTAAGTCTGAATACATACACACATATATATATATATATATATATATATATATATATGTCTATAGATAGATAGATAGATAGATAGATAGATAGATAGATATACTGTATATATCTATCTAAATATATATCCGTGTGTTAACTCATTCGCTGCCAAAGACGTCTATAGACCTTTTATGTTTTTTAATGCGATCAGCGAAAGTTTTTCCGTAAATATCAGGCTTCTAGACAGAGTATGTAGTAACAAATTGACCCTCTAGGGGGCAGTGCCACTTTTGATGGGAGATGAGCATAGACTGTAGGCAAATAAAAACAAACGCAATGGTTCGCTATGAGAGAAATGGCGCCGGTGAGACGCACGTCGAAGAAGAACGGAATAAGGTAGAAACAATTTTTTTTCCTGATGAAAGAAGAGAGTCTACTCTTTCTTTTGGTGTATTCGGTGTTTACATAGTCATAGCACAAACTATTCTGTGGCTCTTGAAAAATCAGTCAAAATGCTCAAAAAACTCTGGCAGTGAGTGACTCTCTGTTCTGAAAATGGCTGGCAGTCAATGAGTTAACTTTGTTTCAGTGTGATTACATGTATTGTGTAACTTATTTTTAATTTTCTAATAAAATAAATAGATAAAAAATCCGTGTGGTTGATAAAATAAGTCCCAGATTAATTCAGACTGATGAGATTTGAACACATCTCAAGCGACGCCCTGCCGGGGTTCCTCCATCTAAAACTAAACTCCCTTTTCTCCCGTTTCGGTCACCTTGGTGCTTTCGCTGGCGTCCTCGAACAGCCGTGACGGGAAGCGGGTGCCGTTGAGCGCCACCGTGTCCGCGGGCTGGGGGCCGGGGGCCGAGGGGCCGGGGGCCAGAGAGAGGGCGTTCAGCTGCTCCTCCAGGGAGAGCACCACCCCGTCGCCCTGGAGCTCAGAGGAGTCCAGCGTCTGGGGGGGGGGGGGACACATGAAACCAATTCAATTTTATTTATAAAGCACCACATCACAACAACAGTTGTCTCACAGCGCTTTCCAAACAGAGCAGGTCAGACCCTACTCTGAAGTTAATTACAGAAACCCAACAATTCCCACCGTGAGCAAGCACTAGGCGACACAGGCAAGGAAAAACTTCCTTTTAACAGACAGAAACCTGGAGCAGAACCATGGCTCAGGGTGGGCGGCCTTCTGCCTCGGCCGGTTTGGGGTGAAGGAAAGAGGGAAAGAGAGAGAGGGAGAGAAGGACAGAGGGAGCAGAGGGGTTTTGGAGTAGGCTTGTGTGGTTGATAAAAAGTGCAAAAAGCTGGATCAGGACATCGCTAAACTTTAATACATGCTCTGATAGGCCGGGATCGGGATTGAATCGGAAGTGAAAGAAGCTGGATCGGGACTTCCTTAGTTTGGGATTTACCTTCCTGAGCAGCGACAGGTGGCAGCAGCACTGGCGGAGGCGCAGCAGCAGAGACAGGATGTGGACGGCGCTGGACGGCTGCTGGGAGGCCGAGGAGGCCGGAGAGGGCTGAGAAAGGCCGAACTCCTGAGCCACTGGAAGACAGGCAGTTCGCTTATAAAAAACAGCAGCTTCCCTTTTAATTCAGAACACCACCGACGTGAATCGTGTTCTGAGTCTGATCAGTAAAGATGCTCTTTTAACTCATTGACTGCCAAAGACGTCTATAGACGTCTTTTATGTTTTTCAACGAGAGTG